TCTTGACTTCAAGCATCAAACTGTTGGCCCACCAAAACGACTTTATTTCTGAAATATCACTATCTATTTAATGTAACGGTAATTGTCAATTTTGTTCACAAAATGCCTATTACGAGTTGCAATGTTAAATATTGTGGCATGGTTTGTAAATGTGTATGAATACAGTGGGTACGGAAAGTATTCAGAACCCCTTAAATTTTTCACTCTTTGTTATATTGCAGCCATATGCTAAAATCATTTAAGTTCATTTTTTTTCCTCATTAATGTACACACAGCACCCCATATTGACAGAAAAACACAGAATGTTTGACATTTTTGCAGATTTATTAAAAAAGAAAAACTGAAATATCACATGGTCATAAGTATTCAGCCCCTTTGCTCAGTATTTAGTAGAAGCACCCTTTTGAGCTAATACAGCCATGAGTCTTTTTGGGAATGATGCAACAAGTTTTTCACACCTGCATTTGGGGATCCTCTGCCATTCCTCCTTGCAGATCCTCTCCAGTGCTGTCAGGTTGGATGGTAAACGTTGGTGAGCAGCCATTTTCAGGTCTCTTGCTTCAGTGGCATTTTGGTCTGTTTCACCCAGATAGATGAGTCGGTGTGAAAATGTGGGAAAGATGGTCAAAAATGTGATTTAATGTGCTTCTCTTAAAAGCAGTTGTAGGTTTGGTGGTTGAATAAAAATGGGAAGGAGAAAGCTGTGTGACCACACAAAGCAGTTTTGAGTTTTGAGATTCAGTAAATTTGCCACTTCCCCTTTTTTTAACTGTCTTCTTTTTTATGTGGTGTCAAATCTGTGAAAAAGAAAACATTTGTTTGTACATGACCCGGTTGTACTTTTCCTCAGATGCCTGGTAATATCTAACATCTTCAGAGGGCCACTCTGCCATAAAGCCCTGACTGGTGGAGGGCTGCAGTGATGGTTGACTTTTTACAACTTTCTCCCATCTCCCGACTGCATCTCTGGAGTTCAGCCACAGTCATCTTTGGGTTCTTCTGTACCTCTCTCACCAAGGCTCTTCTCCCCTGATAGCTCAGTTTGGCCGGACGGCCAGCTCTAGGAAGGGTTGTGGTCGTCCCAAACGTCTTCCATTTAAGGATTATGGAGGCCACTGTGCTCTTAGGAACCTTAAGTGCAGCAGAAATTCTTTTTTTTTTTGTAACCTTGGCCATCTGTGCCTTGCCACAGTTCTGTCTCTGAGCTCTTCAGGCAGTTCCTTTGACCTCATGATTCTCATTTGCTCTGACATGCAGTGTGAGCTGTAGGGTCTTATATAGACAGGTGGGTGGCTTTCCTAATCACGGTCAATCAGTATAATCAAACACAGCTGGACTCAAATGAAGGTGTAGAACCATCTCAGGGATGATCAGAAGAAATGGACAGCACCTAAGTTAAATATATGAGTGTCACAGCAAAGGGTCTGAATACTTATGACCATGTGATATTTCAGTTTTTCTTTTTTAATAAATCTGCAAAAACGTCAAAAATTCTGTGTTTTTCTGTCAATATGGGGTGCTGTGTGTACATTAATGAGGAAAAAAATGAACTTAAATGATTTTAGCATATGGCTGCAATATAACAAAGAGTTAAAAATTTAAGAGGGTCTGAATACTTTCTGTACCCACTGTATGTCTTCAGTGCATTGAGGTTTCTGTAGTTGTTGCTGTTTGGTCTGCACACAAAAGAAATGATTCTCCCATTACTTTTCTTTATCTTTTCAACCATTAATTTAGACCGGAGAAATGTTTAAATTGCTAACCTGTAGAATTGTATCTAAATATTTTATTAATGGTAAGTAAATGAGAAAGAAAGATTTAAATGGCAGCAATCTATTATTGATAGGTAGCCTTAGCAATAATAAAAGTATTTCTGTTGGTTTCCCTATGCTCAGGATTTGCGGATGTACCACAGAGTGCCAGGCACTGTTCCCAGTGACCATGAGAGCAGGACATGGCACGAGCCAAAGAACTCTTTCAAGTGACAGTCACAGGGAGTGTGATGTACTTCTTTTGACTGCCAGATTGTAAATTCTTGGTGGAATTTTACAGGCCCTGGACATGATTACTTTAAGTGGTAATTAGTTCATCCTGGCTCATGCTGAGTAATTTGAGGAAATTGCTAGAAAGGGAGGGTGAAATATTTGCTTGACTGTTTTCACATGGTGCACAGAAAGTAGGTCAGTTGGTCCAAGTGCACAGTGGAGCCTCCATTGCTTGCCCATCTTCCCTCGCCCCCTGTTTCCTGACACTATTCTCTGATTCAGTGCTCTTTATTGTTTAAATCTGCTTCCTTTCAGCTTTTCTTTTTGTCTGCCCTACATTGCACTCTAGACATTGCAGATATTCATTGTTTTTCTTCATGCAATGTCAGTCAGTTGAAAGTTTCCTATCTTTTGCTGATACACACACACACATTAAGTCACAAATGAGCTGAATTTCCTGGACAGCATGGTCTGTGGCCAGGTCTCTGCATGTTCCAAGGGAGGTCTTTGGCTGTGGGGTTTCACTGGCTGGATAATTGCTATGGGTTAGCTGCTCTTTTTTTGTAAGCATATACAGTATCATGTCAGGAATTGCTCAGGTAATGTGAAGTGTGGCTGTAATATGCAGACTATACAAAAGGCACTTCTGCCAATCCTTACTAATGTATCAGGTTACAGAATGTTAAATACCACTGGGCAGATGGTGCTCTCAGGTTTACATTTCACTGACAAACCCATCAGCTGCCAGAAATGTATCAGGTCTCATCATTCATAGCTTTATTCAGAGAACATGCCTCGTGTTAAATCTCATACCACATACAGTTGGTATCTGAAGGGCTGGACTTTATGTCCATGTTAATAATCATCATCATGTTTCATTGTTGATATAGTGACAGTGTTGTCTAAATTAACTGAATGAAGCAAGCCAGAATTACTCTCCTAATAAATAACCCATTTGAATGCATTACACTTTTGAGATTAATCATTTTAACAAGTGGTTTCCCTCACAAAAAACACTATTTGTTATGATTAATGTTCTGTTTATAATGATTTATGTTCCCCCCACCCCATAGCCTAAACCTATGACAGAGTGGTTTGTGCCTGTTAAGATGAGTTTAGCTGAGTTGTACAGTAACAACATTTTTAAAGGGGAAAGTTTTATCTTGTTTAACAGACCTGATTGATTGACTTAATTGTTTTTGGTTGACATGGTCTTACACTGTTCTGATTTTTCTAGTTAGTCATTCTGTGGCTATGACAAAATTAGACACAGCTTTTGGTTCATGGTCCCTGGCTGGAGAAAATAGGGCCACATCCTAATGCCCCCCAACTGTATGTGCACTTGTGCCAGAGTATTTGAGAAAATCTGGGTGTAGGAACTGTACATTGTACTGTGCTGGTTAAAGTTTCCTAGGCATTTTTAAAATATCCTGATTACTGAAGCTGAAATGTCAAGATTGATTCAAAAATATTTTCTCTGGATAGAGGCATTCAGATGATGTATAAATAAACTTTACATGACTGTTAATATTGACAGCCGTCAAGATGGCAGATATTTGCACATTACTATTTTTGTTATTATGCATTGTTGTAGGTTTTATTACCTTTTCATTACTCTAAATTATTCTGTATGCATCAGTAAATAGTGCTGCTGTCTGACTTGTGTGAAATTCAAGGTTCAAGGATTTTATTGTCAATTCACTGTATGTGCAGGACATACAGAAAATCGAAATACCGTTTCTCTCTCACCTAGTATTTGGTGCCGTAACATTTAGGAACTAAAATAGAGTAAAGTAGAATAAGTACTGGATTGACGTAATTAGGATAAATCTAAACGGTACAGCCAATAAGCTGTGACTCAAAACCGTGCACAGTCAGTGACAGTAGTGCAAACAATAATAGGAGATTGTCAGATGGTTCAGCATCACCAGGGCATCTCTTAATTCTTAAAGCATTTCCTTTTTGTCCCCTGCAGGATCGTAAACTGTCGAAGACAGAGCGGCAGCGCTTTAAGGAGGAGGCGGGCATGTTAAAGGGTCTTCAGCATCCAAACATTGTCCGCTTTTATGACTCCTGGGAGGGGCCATCCAAAGGCAGGAAATGCATTGTGCTCGTCACTGAACTCATGACTTCTGGCACACTCAAAACGTGAGTGTCGAACAAACACCTCAGTGCAGGAATCCTACTGTACTAACACTACAGCATACAATGAAGTCACAGTATTTTGGAAAAAAATTTACCTGATTATTAGTATTATTACTAATATTTGTCTGAGGTTATAGAAAAATGTTTTACATATTTATAAATAAGTCTGAATACAGTTTAGGTAATACATGTGTATTTAGGCATGTATATTAAGTTTACAGGAAAAGACTTAATTTGTTGTTACATTTGATACTTTAGAAAACACTGCACCCAGGATGTATGAAAATTGTCTGTTTTTTTCTTAGATATCTGAAACGTTTCAAGGTGATGAAAATTAAAGTGCTGCGAAGCTGGTGTCGACAGATTCTTAAGGGGCTCCACTTCCTTCATACTCGGGCTCCCCCCATCATCCACAGAGACCTTAAGTGTGACAACATTTTCATCACAGGCCCAACAGGATCCGTCAAGATTGGAGACCTGGGACTGGCCACGCTCAAGCGTGCATCCTTTGCCAAGAGTGTTATAGGTACGACCCTGATGTCATTTCTACCTCCAGGTCTCGGTCCTGCTGTGGGCAGTACCTTTTCTGAGGTCATTATATCGTGATTGATATTATGGTGTTGTTTTAAAGAAACTCTTTCCTTTGACTTGTTTTTCTTGAGATGTGGTTCAAAAACAGACCACAGCGTTTCAGCAGTTCCTCAAACCACAGCTCAAATGTAGGCCAAATATTGTGGTAATCTTAGCCAGATAACCACAAGATTGTCTGTGTTTGCAGTCACATATTTCTCTCAAGTTAGGTCATTGTACAGAATATTTCTGTTTCATGTTTCTCAAAAAAGAGGTTTTTTTTTCAGGCACCTACTGAATGTAAGTAGCGCCTAACATTTCTCCTTCTGTTTAAAAAAAAAAAATCAGTTATCATAGTTGTCATACCTTCTTGCAGGCTAGCTTGGCCGTGGCTATAGGCAAGGCCTTTGCGTCTGTCGTAGACTGGTCTTTGTTCTGTGGTTTGGAAATTTGTGGTCTGTTTGCCAGTTTATACCTATACTGTTTAACATCTCTTTCTATGGGTTTGCCTCAACAGGTGTTTTTTTCCCCCCTAGTGTTTGTCTCTTACTGTCTTTTAAAATATTGCAGGACCGCAGAATCTTTTTGCTCCATCTTTGTGTCCAGGGAGCTCTCCCCACTTTGTCTGTCAGTCTTTTCCCTTTGTTTTTATTTTTATTTTTTACTTTCACATTCTTGGGTATGTTTTTAAAATGTAGGCTCTAGCCTCAGCTGTGCCCCATTCTGCTGTTTGGAATGAATAGGGTACTGCTGGTCATTGAGTAAGTATGAACTGTTATGGGCCTGGTAAGTCTAACAGTGTGCTGTAACACACATCACTATCAAAAACAATTACATTCAAATAACCAAATGAGTTTTTCTGTGTAAGACCTGAGATTGAATGTAAACTTAAACTTAATAATAGATCAAGACTGATGTGCAGGGACACACTGCTGAGCACAGTAACTAGCTATGGGATCTGCTTCTCTCAGCCTTGACCATAACACTTTTCCTCCTGCAGGTCAAGAAGAGATGGTAAGTCAAACTTGAAAAGGTGAGTGTACTATAAAAGGCAATGTTAATGTTATTATTGTAAGATAAGGTCTTGACAAAAGTTATTTCCATAGCTGGTCATATTTCTCTTAAAGAGATCATTGGCATCCCTCTGACAAATTATACAGTATTCTGGTCTGGGTATTTTCCTCAGGTGCCTAGCTATAAAGTTAATTTTTGAAAATTGTAAATAACATTCATTTTGGCTTATATGTGTGTTCTGCATATCAGCTACCTGAGTCATGTTCTTGTATCCCAACATGTTAAGGTCTTACACAAAAAAACACGTGCCTTCTTCTCTGCAGTCTAACTGAGCCCATCTTTTCCCTCCTTTTTTGTTTTCTGTCTCTTTTTTACTTTCCTTCCCCTTTTCTGTTCTTTCTCTCCTTCAACTTTCACCTCACAGGTTCTCCTCCAGGAGGTGTCAACAGGCTGGTCACGCTTCTCGTCCTCCTCTTCCTCAACCCCTCACGGGTTAGAGGAGCAGAGGGGCAATGGGTTGTGAGAAGCCCACTCAATCAGTAAGGGAGTTCGAGAGTTCTGAATAGTTGTTTTGATTTAAGGTACCCCTGAGTTCATGGCGCCTGAGATGTATGAAGAGAAGTACGACGAGTCAGTGGATGTGTATGCCTTTGGAATGTGCATGCTGGAGATGGCCACCTCAGAGTACCCTTACTCAGAGTGCCAGAATGCTGCACAGATCTACCGCAGAGTTACCAGTGTAAGTCTTCTCTCCAACCCTCCATGTCACCCCTCTGCCCTGCCTTCACCTCTTCCTGTGTGCCAAGAAGGCTAGTGTCTCATCCTGGAATAATTTTACATTCATGCTGATGCCTCTTTATCAGATTTATATTAGAGTTCTGTCTTCTACTGCTGTTTCACCTCTTATTCCTGTATCTCCCAGATGGTTTTCTATTCCCCTGTTTGAAGAACCTACAAATTTACAAACCCACCAAGAGAACACAACAACAAGCCCATTCATTTCACCTCATACTCTTTTGTTTTTTTTTCTTTCTCTCTTCTTCTCACTTATGGTGTGTGCTGGTTAAGCATGCAGATCTGAGACATGGATGATTGATAAGAGACTGAACAAGCTGAACACTTCAACAGCTTGGTCTTGTGATGATGCCAGAAGGGGAGGAGCTGTCATATTTTTAGTGTTATTCATACTGGCTTACTTTTGAAATACTGATATTAGTCATGCACATGATTCATACAGAGATCGGGTCGTCGGGGTCCCTGCCTTCAACTGCTGCCCAATCCACTGTGCACCGGCCACTTACGGATCCTCCTGCAGTTGGTGGGCCCACGGGAGGACGTCCCCACGTCACTCGTTCGGGCTAAGCCCGGCCGGGCCCCGTGAGGGGAGGCCCGGCCACCAGGCACTCGCATTCGAGCCCCAACCCCGGGCCTGGCTCCAGG